ATTTGCTCTTTCTTATAAAAAATTTTAATTTGCTCTAATGGAGATGAAATAGGCCTTTTTTAAAAATCAATTTCGGTAGCATCACTAGTTAATGCAACTGTGATATATTTTATATATCTTCCTTGAGCTATTAATTTTTCGGTATTTTTGTTATATATTTTTATATTGGTAAATGCTATAGCTTTACCAAATTTTATACATTCTGCATTTATTATTAAAACATCTCCTTTTCTTGCCGGGTTTGTAAATAAAATATTCATATCTGTACTAACACCAGAAGAATAATTTAATCCTCCTCTTAAAGCTACGACTAATGATCCACACACGTCTATCAATAATGCGATCATGGCACCATGTAATGTTTCTAGATGATTCAAATGGTTTGATTAGATAGTTATTTCACTAATTACAGTACTAGATGATGCGTTTATTATCTTCATCTATATGAAAATTGATTAATAATTGGATTTGATAATAAATTATAATAACATTACAAGAAAATACAAACATCTTTTAATAAAGGACCATCAAATTTATCGAGCATTTTATGAAGATACTTATGAACCCATTGTGTCATATCTATTGCTATCATGATTTGATATTTTATTAATTTTATTTTATTATAGAAGAAACAAGATTTTGGATTCAAAATATTAAAAATGACCGAATTAATAATTTTCAAAGATATTTTTGAAATCGATAAAGAAAAATTATCTTTTATTACTGAGAATGATGGGAGATTTACTTGGCATTATATAACTTTATTTTATAATGATAAACCTTGTTCTTTGGATGGATTTAAATTATACTACGAAATTGACGAATATGATGATTATGAATATCCTGTAATTAAAAATTCAAATGGGACAGAATCTTTTCTCATTAAATCAGATGCGAGACTTTATTTTAAAAATAATTTATTATATAAGTTTTATTGGAATCATTATCAATTAAATGATTTTCGTAGCAAAGATAGAAAAATATGTATTTATTTAACTTTGAATAACCATATTCTCAATTTAAGTGATAATTTTAAATATAAATTTATTAAGGAAGAAGTTTATCAAACAATTGATATCGATAAATCTAAATTAGATATTGCTTTTTTTGATGATGAAAAATTTGAGAAAATTAAATCAGAAAACGATGGCATTAAAGATTATTATAAATTAAAAGATGATGTTGGCTATTATTTTATTCTATATAAAAATAGTGTAATTAAACATATTGGCACATATAATTATTTTGATTATTATAATGTAGAAGAAGATAACATTTCTGAAAAAATTTTTATTAAAAGTGTATAATAATCGTTTTGATTATGTATTAAATTA